AAAATATTTTTTGTAATAACTGATAAGCTTAGAGACAGTGACATTTCCTGCCATTTCAAGGGTCTCTTTAGATTACATAAATAATTTTCACTAAACACGTAAACGTATTTAACTTTTTTCTGTGTAGTTTCAAGGTGTTCCTTTTTTCCCACTGTGGAGGAAAATATGACTTTAGTGTAGTGCTTTTTAAGTGGAGCTTATACCACTGAGATAGACATCACTTAACATCCTATTTTGTGTTGTGTGTTTGTTTAGGCACCTTAACAATGAACATGCGCTGGACGACCGAAGCACTGCCCAGTGTCGAGTGCAAATGCAAGTGGTACAGCAGTTAGAAATACAGGTTTGTCAAATGCTCACTCAGTGGACTCCTTTCTCAGATTTCTGGTCTGTTAAATTGAGTAGGGGGCAGATTCTGAGTCTTTTAACACAATGACTGGTAGAAATACATGGAATTTTAGATTGTTTATAATGATGGCAATGATTGATAATTCAGTGTGGATTGCTATAGTTTAATGTACTTATCACTTAGACTCATATAACCTTTAGACTACATCGTAGACATTTAGATATCCCCACAAAATCAAATCTAAGTTTTCCCTGATAGAGGTTAGACCAAACCCCCCAATTGGATATGATTCTATTGCGGAGACAGTTTTTACATGAGCTAATCTTGATTTTTTCCATGAGATTTTATGCATATAGCAAAAAGACTTTACAATATCATGACTGTAATATACCCTGAAAAAACACTTTTTTCTTTTCTACCTCTAGTGTATTTTTACTAAAAGAACTTGCAAAAATTCATAAGACTCGTCTTTATTAGAATAATGGCAAATCGTTTATACTATCACAGATAAATGTGTTGTATCGAACGCTGCTAATTTAAGTTAAAAAAACATTTCCGTTAATACTGAAACAGAATTTGGCCAAAAATAAATAGAATTCATAAATCTGATCAGAAAGCAATTATATCAGCCTAAGTATCACTCTTGTTATGTTTTTACTAACCCTTTAAGGCTTCGTCTAAAATTTCATCTTAAAGATTATTTTTTTCTCACTCAAACCAATAGTACTTTGTTTCATTTAATTAAACACAATTTCTTCTTCTTCACACTTTACATCTTCAATTGTTTTAAATTTATCATGTCGTTGTTTTTATCAGAGAGCTACTAAAAATATTTTAACTTGTAAAATAATCAAGAACACATAAAAGGCATCATTGCTGCTGTAGTTTAAAAAGCTTTTGGTAAACCTGTTTACCATTTGTAAAAGGTAGACTAAAACTTAAGAGTTCAGCTGATGATGCAGTCTGCAGTGTAACCAATTATGCCTCTTTTTTTTCATTCTGCTGTGTCTGACTGATGGAAAAGTAAGGTCCGTCAGTTGTAATGAGACCCAGTGCAAGTGTAGATGCCGACTCCGTGGCAGAGTTCAGCGTTTCACACTGCCTGGTCTCTGTCACTCTATTGAATTAGATTGATGATGGCAGATTGCAGGGGGCACTAACTGGACCTCAGTGGGAATGCATGAAGTGTGTCGACAATCCTGGCAGGCACTTCGCTTTGAGAACCCTTCACCCCTTCACAGCTGTTGGCACTAGTCCATTGCTAACAGTGTCCACAGGACTTTAAAGAGACACCATGGGCCTTCTAATTTATGGTTTCAGTAACTTGTTACTGTCGAGGCAACTGTGACCTCAATTCTCTTATTGACAAAAAGATGAAGTGTTATTTGTTTTCTCTGACCTTTTAACATAAGGCAAGCTGTAAAAGTTTTCCCCCCTCCACAGCTAAAGTTGCATTTCCTCCCAGGTAAGTTCCTACGGACACAGACTTTTATATGCAGCAATCATTACTCTCAGACAAGCTCCATGATAAGATGTATCACTGCAATAAAATAGCTGTATCAGTCATTTCTAAAATGCTTCTGATCTCACTCTTTCTTAACAGCTTTCTAAAGAACGTGAACGTCTTCAAGCAATGATGACCCACTTGCACATGCGACCCTCAGAGCCCAAACCATCTCCCAAACCTGTAAGTGCATATTGCTTTATAAACAGTAAATAGCTCTACCGATGTAACAGACTAAGAAAATGAACAATTTAGTGACAGTTAGAAAACAATGAGTGTGATGAAAAATATGGCAATAAAGTGAAAGTAAAATGCAATCGCTTGTCAAATTGTATGTTTCTTTTAAAGTAATGCTGTCTTTTACAAAATCTATCCAATCTACACCATGGGTGACACTAAACAAAGTACACCTATCAGTGCACAAATCACCGCCTTGAGGCTGAAGCCAGAGAGAATATCTTTCTGTGATAGGTTTACCAGATATTAAAAGGAAACCCACTTTGAGCAACCTAAAAAGCTGTAACAGTGCAAATCACAAATAGAAAGGTATGTGGTATGCCGAAGAGGACTTAGATCAATCGTAAGATACATATAAATAGATTTTTTATCAAATATTTTGTCAAAAATGTCATAGCATTTTATACCCA